GATGGGTATTAAAGAGGGCACGTTCTGCATGGAGCACTGGGTGTTATACGCAAATAATGAATTATGGAACACTACATCTAAAACTAATGATGTAATGTATGGGGATTAACATAACAATAAAAGAGTTAACACTGTTTCTTTACAATGATTCACATTGTAAAGGAACACACACACAAAAACACCCTTTTTTCTAAAGGATGGGGTTTTCCATTTCACATTGTAAGGTAACACATGGTTATAAAAAATAAAAATTTTCATTAAAGTTGCATAGCTTTTCCATATATGTTTGTTTTCACACAAAATCACCAGTGGTATCACACTACGTGCAATAATCAATATAATTTGCTTTCTCACTTATGATATGTAATGGTTCAAATTCTTAATTCATAATATCTGAATATGTTACCAAATAACTCACAATAGGAAAATAAACTTAAGCGATATATTTACAGATTCTTGGATTATGTTTCTATTCTTGCCTTATATTTAAGCTCCTCTGTTCATTCATTCGTTAATTCACTTAAAAAATCTTTATCCTTGATAAATATTGAGGATTAAAAGGTGAAAATATTATGGATTTTATGATGACTTTTTGGAAGAACTTACATTTGAGCTGGTCCCCTACATTCATAGCACAGCTTTACAATACTATGTGATGTTAAAAAGATTCTTGAACTTACTACTGTTTTATTCCCTCATATGTAAAATGACGAAAATAATAGTATAATCAGTTCTCCTTATGATGCAACCTACGCATTCATAAAAATCAAAGCAGTATGCAAAATCATATAGTAAAAACCATAAAGCTCTTGGAAAAAGTGGGGTTAGGGTACAATATTCGAAAGCTTTTTCAGTGACACATAAAAATAAAAATATAAGAAATTATTAAAAATGCTAGTTTTGCACTTGTTAAATGATCAAAATGCTACAATAAATGTGACACTTTACCTTGAAAAAGGACTGAAGTCTGCCATGGAAATGGAAATTGGAAGGATTGAAGCTTAGGAGTTGTGCTTATGGTAATTTTGAGTTGGTGGAAGGAAAGTTATTTGAAGGAGGGTTATTGATGTATTTAAAAAATGTAAAGAGGGCGCCTGGGTGGCTCAGATGGTTAAGCGTCTGCCTTCAGCTCAGGTCATGGTCCCAGAGTCCTGGGATCGAGTCCCGCATCGGGCTCCCTGCTCCTTGGGAGCCTGCTTCTCCCTCTGCTTCTCTCTCTCTCTCTGTCTCTCATGAATAAATAAATAAAATCTTTAAAAAATAAAAAATGTAAAGAAAAAAATATTGGAAAAGCTGTAGACATCAATCAGATCAAGGTATTTGTGAAATTCAGTGCAAGGTTTCCGATTTAGACTTGTAGTTAGAGAAAATGAGAAGCCAAATAGTGAAACTGACATGATTTCATTTGAACTTTAGGAAGATTTCTAGGTGTATAGTGTGAAAAATAGATTGGTGTTGAAAATCTGTATGGTAGGAAGTCTTATAAGGGGAATAATACAGGATTAGGCTACTTCATAAAATATGTGATCAGTAAAGTGGTAAATGAGGTGATAGATTTAAATGAAGGGATTTAAACTATGTTTAGGAAATGTAGTAGAAGAATTTTGATGTATTATTTAACATGGGTTGGGGAAGTAAAGGATGGAGTCAAGAATGAGACAGGTTTCATGGACAATTGAGTACACAGTAAACTCAAAGCATACACAAAGGAACTGATTTGCTGGGAGAAAATGGAGAGTGACAGCTTTTTAAAAGACCCCTGAGAACCATTTAAATGGAGACTTCCAGTATATAATTGAATATAGGAGTATGAATAAACAGAGTATGCCATGAAAGGAGTCAAGGTTTCAGAGCATGAAGTTCTGGTCAAGAATATCTCAAATGCTGCTAATGTAAAAATTGAGACAATGACTGAAAAGTTCACACTAGACCAGTAATACTGAGTTCATTTTTGATCCTTGAAAAAATAATTTAAGTTAAATCAAGAGCACAGATCTCAGAATACATTGAGTTGTGTAGTAAGCCATGGAGAGAAAAGTATAAACAACTCTCCCAATAATTATGATTGTGAATGTGAAGAGATATTTAGCTGGAGATAACACAGGGTAGAATTTGTTTTATTGATGTTTGGTCAATGGATTGATCTATGTCTCTTTAATTGTTAAAGCGAAGAAATGCCCAGCAAAAGAATTGATTATGTATGTGAAGGTTTTGTCCATGGTGTGCTAGAGAAGGAAAAAAAGAAAAATGCAGTCCAAAACACAAATAGAGAAATTTCTTCTGACACGGGAGGTAATACTTCTTTTATTATAATTGGAGAAAGAGTGGAAGGGCTAGATTGACACACTTGTATTTTGCTATTATAGTAGTGGTAAATTGAATTAGGTTTCTTGAGATTGCCTCATTAATGAAATAGAATATAATGTTTGACAGTAAGGGAGAGCGGGACCAGACTTTCCACTGATCTTAAACAGTGTGGAGGACTACTACATAATCTTTATAATGTCTTATTCATTTTTGGTGTAACCTATATATTACCTTGTATGTCTTCTAAGAGAGTGAAGAATACTTTTATTTTCTTTCTTTTTTTTTTTTAAAAAGATTTTATTTATTTATTTGACAGAGAGAGACACAGCGAGAGAGGGTACACAAGCAGGGGGAGTGGGAGAGGGAGAAGCAGCCTCCCCGCAGA